GGGACGATGGTCAGGGGCACTGGGACGATGGTCAGGGGCACTGGGACAATGATTCTGGAGATTGGGGGAATGACCAGTCAAATTATGACGATTCATGGTAACGGTTCACATCATTGGGACGATGACCAGTAGCAATAGGACGATGACCAAGAGGAATTTGCGGATTTTTCTGCAGTGCATTGGGGTGATGATTCAGAGGAGTGGGATGACCACCAAGAAAGTTGGGATGACGAAGGTTCACAGGCTGCAGAGGCCTATTGGGGCGCTGCGTCTGCTCATTATTCCAACGAGACAGAGACATTTGGGCGATACACAGGGGAATTTGGCTCGTCTAGATGAGCACTCTGACAACCAACATACAGGACACTGGAGTGATGATAACTATGATGGAATTGGCAGGATTGGTTACATCAGTTTTGAGTGATTCAAGTCCTAGTACATGTACTACCGTTAGTATATCTGATACTTACTAACAAGGTACAGGGTGCTATGTGTTAAGAAATTGGTAAGTTTGAATGCATCAGTTGTATTTCTGCTGTCAGATTGCATAGTATTATGTTGTCTGGAAAACTCAGTTTACAGTGAAAGGAGAGTAATATACATGCTTATACTTTTTGTGCCAAATTATAATAAAAGTACTATAATTAAATTAACATTATTTACATATTATTTAAAGTTGACATGGCACTAGAGTTTATGTAGTAATGTCAGGACTCTTTGTTGAGCATATACATGTATGACCTTATGAGTATGCCATGTAACTAAAGGAATGTTTGTTGTTGAAAAAAAAAAAGAAATGGCAATGTGGTACAGACAAGATCTGTTAGATGTAAGAAATATGTGTATATCATATGATAGCTTTTTTGGGGAAAACTTGCTTTTCACAAATGTTTTGCATGTTTGTTTTAAGTGACACTTGAATTGGTAGCTTGTATTAGTTTGCCATACAGTGGAGTCGTGTGTCGACAGAAATACACAATTGACCAAAGTGCTGTATCACATCATTCACAGGCTTTGTGTTGCTGGGCTGATTATGGGTGAATTTTCTTGACTTCCCGATATGTGACAATTGATTGCTCTAGGCTTATGATCATGAGGGTGGAAGAAAATACTAAAGGAAAAAAGCTGAAGCATGAAATACTGAAGAACTTTGAATATCTTGGACAAAAAATTGAACTAAGTTTAAAGTTAAACTCACAAAGACCCAATCCTTCCAAGTTTCTGCACAACTTATTTTCAAAGGTTATCTATTTCTTGACTGAACTTTGTTACATTTGACTATCACAAACTGACAAAGCAACAGAGAGTTTATGTTGAAGGCATTGATTATAACATTTATAACAGTTACTCAGTTTTGTTAAATAAAGAAACTTATGTTCTGACTTTTGAGTGAAAGTGTCTTTTTTGCTTCTTGATATTGGTGTTTCTTCCAGAAAGCTGCAGGTATTTTTCCATATTTTTTTAAAATCTTAATATAAAGAGACATGGATGTACAATATGGTATAGAAAACATAAGCAAGATTCAAAAGACATCAAGTCTAATTTTGCAACTTTATCTTTCTTCTGACATAAAATTTTAGTAGCAAGAGAGTACATTTGATAAGTCATTGAGAAGATGGCACATTTGGCAGCTCCTTTAAAGGAGTACTAACCTCCAGAAGGAGGTGCTATATTTCGACAGGCATTTATTTTTGGAATTGAAAAATGCATATTATTTTACAGTATACAATTAAATGTCCATTTTGCGCGCAAGTCTTAAAACGCATCGAATCCAGGACAAACTCTCCAAATACCCTCAAAACTATCCCAGAATACACCGCGCTACCCCATTAGTGTCTATGTTTTAAACAAAAAGTTACGTTACAGACCTCATTTCGGGGGCGATAAGAAAAATTCATACCGTTTTGTGTTCTTTGGTATCTTACCAACCATTGCCCTTCTTGGTGTCCTTATCGCCCCTCATTTATGCCGCAAATATTGACGATAAAAAAAACGGCGTAATCTAGTTATCCTTTCCAAAAGTGGCGTAATCTAATTATCTGTTCAAGCGATACTTACATGCAAATAAGTTGAGAAAATCAAAACACGCAGGATGAAACTGGCTCCCACTGTATTCGACATCCTGATATTATAATATCCAAGCCACAGGTCAAGCAAAGTAAAGCAAGTAATTTCTCAATCATCAGCTTGTTAGTGTGCTTGTCTCCTACCATTTTCGCCGGAAAATGTTTATGTTGACCTGAAGTGTATGAGCATTGCGTAAGCCAGAGTTCCCGGATGTATCAATTGTGGTTCAGCATGGGGGAAAATGATATTAATATCACTTTACAAACATGCTCCGCTCAACTCGTACAAGCGAAATTATGTAAAAAGTCGGCTAGTTATGTATTCATTGGAGCATAATGTATCGGAAAATAGCACTTCCTTCTGGAGGTTAGTACTCCTTTAATATAGTTGACATTTCTTTCAAATTTCGAAGGAAAAAGCTGACAGAAAGATACAAGCAGTGCTCCAGCCAGTGTCTGTTTTGACTTCAGGCTGGCTAGAACACTGGACTCAAGTCAATTATAGTATGTTTCACTCTGCTGCTTGAACCAATGCTGACAAAAAGCCAAAATGTTATACAATGTAGGTAACTGTATACATGTACATTGTTATCAACTTTGACAACAAATCTGAAAATATCAAACTTCTAGTTTCTCCTCTCCTAACGTTTACTCCATCATTTCACTATATATTTCAAGTTGATGTACAAGAAAATGTGAGATAGTTTGTACTTTGCAACCATTTAATTATGCCAACTGTTGAACAAAGTGATGCAGTCTAAACGTTATACCATGACTGTTCTGTAAAAGATTAACAAAAGTAAACTACTAAAGCTTCTATCGCATATGCAGAACCTTCACCTGGCCACTAAACCAACTGTTGGTGGCCTGGGGAAGGTTTAAAGCAAAGTTGGCTGAACTTTTGGAGTAGTCTAACAAGTAACAGCATGTATTTGCCCATACATGTATTACTGCTGGCGCAGCCAAACAGTAGCAAACCTTGCCGAATGCCAGCCAACCACAGCCGATGTTGCTCCCAACAATTACTCCCAACCATGGTGGGGGGGAGTTTGGCAGTGTTCGGTAGGCCATATTCTGCTATGTGTGACAGTAAGAAGTGATATAATGTTGGTTGTATTCCATCTATCCAAGAAGTGAAACTTTTCTGCAAGAAATATTCGATGTCTACAGGTATCACCAGTCACTACTACTGCTATCACTGTCGTCATTAGAATCCTGGTCATAACTATCACTGTAGTCATTACCATACCCATCATCATAGTAGTCTCCGTTATTGCTTTGGTCATTGTACCCATGGTCATAGCCACCAAATTCAAAAGAATCGTGGTATACAGGGTCACAATAGCCACCGTTATAGGCATCGTAACCATCATCACCATATTCATTGTTGTAGCCGTCATTGTAATAATCCCCGTTTTCATCATAGCCACTTTGGTCATCGTCGTGACCTGAGGCTTCTTCAAATGAACCATCCTGGTTACTGTAGGGACTGCTGGCATTGTAGTCATCAGGTGGTCCATAATCGCCATAACCACCGTACGGGGTCTCATCATCATCATCATCATCAGCCCCACTGCTGTCATGACTGTCACTGTCACTGTCGAGGTCGGGAGAACTACCTCCGCGATAACTGCCTTCATAACTGTCATCAAAAAAGGTATCCCAGTCCTGAAAAACAGACAAAACGATCCACCATTGTCACCATCAAGTATATGGGAAAAAGTTGGTATACGCAGTTTCGCTGACCATCCCTTTTTTGTCAGAGTAACACCAGTGGTACAGTATACCAATGCATCATCTTTAAAATTTTATACATTAAAGGTACAGACTTTACACTTGAGTGTACCCTACTTCTGTATTTGTTATACAAATGTGTAAGAATGAAGAAATGAAATTGGTGTGGCTTGTATAAGAAGAGAAAAGATGACCAAATTCTCACCCCCTCGGATGCACTATAGCTGCCACCGTCACTGTCGTCCCTCTCCTCCTCACTGGTGTCATCAGTGTATGAATCCTCATCACTATCATCTTCATCCTGACACAGCAAGGAAAGGAAAATAAAAAATACAAGGAAAATAAATTTTGTAAACTTCTAGTAAAAAGAGGGGTTGGCATGACATCAAAAAAGTGGTGGAATTCTTGTTAAAAATTTCTTGCCAAAGACTGGAATTTGGGCAAGTCCAATTTCTTGTATTGAAAATTACACTTTAACTTGCTATGTAAGTAATGGTAAGTGTTTTATGCAAGGTTCACTAGTAGATGGTAATTGAAATGAAACAGGGAGCGGAAGGTACTTGATGAAATACTCTATTGTTTGAAACCTCTCTCACCATTCATCTTGCAAAATGTTCCTAATTTACACCTGCTCATGAGATATCAGTAAAAATTATCCTATACTGGCTTCCTCAAAACTACCCAGGCTAACAACTTTGCGACAATTAACCAAACAATGTGCATGTACATACAGACTTTTGTATGTTGTGTACATAAAATGTACCTCATGAACATTAACAATAATATACAATGATAAAACAAATACATTTCAAGTACATACGTCATCATCATCATCACTGTCATCGCCATCTTCATCAATGGACACCCAGCCACTCTCATCATCATCATCATCACCATCGGCCCAGTGGTCCCACCCCTCCTGGTACCTGAGGAAGTACCCGTTCAGCTGTTCCAGGATGTTCACCTCCTCCCCGTCAATGTTGATGGTGAACAGGTCATCATCGTCTTCAGGATGGACCTCATTTCTGTCAGGGGCTGGGATCTGACGGGTCAGGGAGTAAACATGATGTACCAGTAACAACATAAACCAAAATTAGAAAGTTAGGTATCATTTGCTATTAACACACTACTGTTGTTTATTATTACCGAAACACAACATATGATATAACCATGAAAGTTCATCTGTGTTGGTAGTTACATGTTTAAAGTTAAAACTTTTGGTCCAACACAAAAAGTTCTCTCACCTAACCGCGACATCATCTACCAGATACTTTTGACCTAGTGTTGGCGTCACACTTCAAAGAAGCCACGTGACAAGCCTCACTGGGTCAGTCTACTGAGGAAGACCAGAGTAACTGGTCAAAAGCTCTAGGTGAGAGAATTTATTGTGTTTGACCAAAAGTTTTAACTTTACATACATGATATATACGTGCTGTTTGTCAATGAAGTTTACACAGATCACCTACCCTGTCTGTTACGGCACCTCCCAGTCTCTCTCGGGCAACAATCTCGTGGAACGTTTTGTTGTCAACCGGGCATTTGTTTTTCCTCTGTGGAATAAGAACATGCTTGATGTATCTGTGGCCAACAGTAGGTTTGTTTTGTCACCATCTTTGTTTTTGGTTACAGTATGGAACAAAATCTGCTGTTGAATGTTGTACTATTTGCTGCAAATGTGACATTTACTGCTACACATGGATCTTACTACTCATCCACACAGATGTTGAAACATGATAAAAAAGGTGTTCCATTATTACTTCCATACCTGTGCCCATGTCTGTATACAGTCCAGGCAGTAGGAGTGGCGACAGCAGGCAGGCGTTCCCACACGCTGGTCTGTCAACTCCTCCAGACAGATGGCACATTTCTCAGCCTCAACTGCCTCTGCTTAAGATGACATGCAATATAATCAGTGTGTGTATGCATGTTCATATTCATGTACACTTTATTTCTTTCTTTATTTCTTTATTTGAATTTACCACATGCAAAAACAAGTGGAAGGGAGGACAAAACAGGTGTATCAACGCCTTTACAAGTTGTCCTCCCAAACCTGAAATGATAATACAAAACAATACGAAACCAAGTCAAACAATAAACATTTACATAAAAAATCAGTAGACGTGAAATATACAATGTTGCTCTTTGATAAGGCCTAGGAAAAAAATGTTGTGCTTCCTGTTTCAGTCCTGAAAAAGTTAGGGTGATGCAACTTGTGATCCAACTTATACAATACAGTTTAACGAGGTGAAACTTGCATGAGGACGCTTATATTTTCAATGGCAATGTTGGAAAAGAAATTGTGCAACATTACATCACTCAGGTGTCAGACCTTGGAGCTAGAAAAGGTTGATCAGCTCGAAATATTATGTCCCTTGCAGAGGTCCACACCAAAAAAAAAAGGCAGGAGTTGGCAGTGGACATTTTCCTAAATAACTTACTCTCGAGAGTACAGGAATTTTATGTACTCTGTGTTATTCTTTACTGTACCTGCAGTTTCTGTCTTTGTGCCTCTAGCCTCCTCCGTGCCCAGTTCTGTTTTTGATCCCTTCATCTTCTTCTTTTTCCTCTTCTGTCCTTTGGCACTTGAGCTGCTATCTTCTGTACCACCATCTTTGATTGTCACTTTGGTTTCGGTTCTGTTACCTTTACAATGTTTGGTTTGAAGGGTAGAATCCTTTTCTTTTCCAGCTCTTCCTTTCTTCTTGTCTTCCTTTGATTTACTAGAAGTCCTTGACGTAGCTGCAACTTCCTGTTCATCAGAGGTTGCAGGTTTTTCAGAGGAACAACTTGCACCCTCTGTCGACGGCCGTCCTTGTGCAGGTGATGATCCCCTGCTGTGACGTCTTTTCTTTCGTGAGGGTCTGGATCCAGAACTACTGCCTGTATGTACAGTTTTATCAGCTTTGTTGTCATTCCTCCCAGCATCACCAGGTGGGGCTTTCCTTTTCCTGCCCCTGCCACGTCCCTGTGCACCTCCAGGTGTTGCTGGATGTGCTTCAGTTCTTACTGCTCTTTTTTGTGTACTCTTGTCAGAATGCTGTTTTCCTAGTGCAGTGTTGTTCTCATCTGAAAGAAAGAGTCAAGAGCAGATTCAGCAAGTTGTACTGAAAAATGAAAAGCTCCAAATATAGGTGAAAAATGAAAAGCTCCAAATATAGGAGCCATTTGATAAAGGAAGTTTGGAAAAAAATTATGAGATTACATCATTAATATAAGATAACCTGTTTAAACACAAAAATGCCAAGGTACTGTAGGCAATAAAGAAAGCAAGGAGCCTTATGTCTGAGACTCTTTGAAGAAAGCAAGTACTAGTACAAGTCTACTACTGTACCTCATTTTCTAAAACTCTACTATTTGATAAATTAGGTACATACAGGGATTACTTCTGGATGTTTGAAGTGACATTAAGCACTATTTTTCAGGGTCACTAAAACTGAACTGACAGAACAGTTCAACTAGTCAACACTTATCACTACTACCTGTGCCTGTGTCCCCTTGACCTTGTTCCCCAGGCCTTGTCTTCCTTCTCTTCCTTGATGAATTCCCCCTCCCAGCTGCACCGTGGTCTGTTGATAACGCTGCACCTGTGCCATTGGAAGTGCCCATCTGATTCTCTTCTTTAACCACAGTTGATGCAGCTTTTGGTCTTGTGGATGTGTTTTGCTGTTCTTGGGTTCCGGCACATTTCTCCCGTCCCCTGCTCCTGTGTTTCCTGCCACGTAGGGAGGTCTGAGACAGACCGTCCATGTCAGGACCATCAGGAATAGTGGGAGGTGAGTTCCCTGCTGCCGAGGTGACTGGGGAAGTCCGTGTCTGGGTCTTCTTCCCCATAGTTCTGATGAAATAGAACACACACATTTAGGAGACCAATTTTAGTCTATTCTATCATCTCTAGGTTGAACAGATCATAATTTTGACAACTGTATGTCTCTACAGGGCTCGAAATTAACATTGTCCCAGTGTCAAATGACACTAAATTTTCAGCTTGGGACAATTCAAATTACGTTTCGGGACAATTTTGGGGCAATTGGAAAATTCTAAGACCATCCACGTCATTTGGGAACGCGATCCATCCATCCTGCTGCAGACTGCTGGCAGCCTATAAATATATAATACTCTGACAAACATTTAAATTTGACCAGTCAGGGATTCCAAGTATCAGGGACGGTGCCATGCCCATGATATTATCATGTATTTCCCTACATTTACTAATAAAGTGGACTTCAAGTTGTACAAATTCAGTTGTTGTTTTCTTATTTTTGTCATCAACTTATTTTCTGAAAAGCAGGCTGGGACAGTCCATCTTCAGTTCGGGACAATTGAAATCTATGTTCGGGACAATTCTGGGACAATAGTGAAAAAAGTTAATTTCGAGGCCTGCTCTATAGCATTAGTCTCCACCTGATGCTATTCTAGGTTAATCTAGGTCTACTTTTACGTTTACGTTATAACTCGTTAGGCCAGGTCATTTCTGATTTTTATATGAATTTGTGACTCTAGCCACCATACTAATGTCTCACAATTTTCGGCAAATATTCATTGGAAATAAACAGGATTCAGACTCTATTGAGGGAAAGAGGACCCAGTAAAATGAAAAATTCCTAGGTACCGGTGCCCCCCTCCCCATCTAAAGATAATTTGCCGAGGAATCGAAACTTTCTTTCTGTCCTTCGGGGAGAGACATATACCAACGATTCTGTATATCTGGTAACGTTCTGGGGAAAATGATTGCAATCCCATCTACAATTCAGTAGCTTAAGTGATACAAAATCATCAGAAACCAGGAAAATATCTCCTCACCTTTCCGCTGACAGTTGGCAGCTTTTTTTTACCGTTCTCCAAAAATGGCGCCACACAGAACGTTACCTTTGACCTTTCTCGGAACTCGTTCCCAGGTCCGTTTATTAATTAGTGGACTGGCACAATATCCCACTACAGGTATTTCATAAAATAATAAACAATAGAAGGTTTGAAAATAGACTGTGCAAGATGACCGAAAGAAATCAAGTGAATCTGGATAAAATTAATACTAAAGCTGGGAACAAGATAGCCAGATCTTTCTTCATAACGGATCAAACCATTGAAACATTAGGGGAGTTCAGCTAATAAAGCTGTCAACATGTATAGACAGATCCCTTTGAAGTATGTAGAATATTTGGATGTATCATTTTCCCAAAGATAACAATAAGGCTGACATCAAGCGGCCAGTTATTACTAGTACTAGAAACGCATGCTCCTCAGAACAGACACAAATCATTCTCAATGTTGTTCACTGACAAACTTGGCCTAAAGTCACATAAGGCCACACCAATTTAATTTTATGGATGACATCCAGGCGCGCATTGACTTTTGCGTGTTCTCAAAACAACCCAAATAATCACGTCCTCCAAGGTTCCAGCCTGGGTGTCGTCCTTCATAGTCCTTGTGCCTAGCTAGCGACTATACAGAGCCTGTGTAACTATGGAGGACGGTTAACCCAGGCTACTGAAGCTCCACGGAACTCATTACAATACCAGCTCAAGAAGGCCAGCATATACCAGCTTGTCATAGAAGTCGCTATGTAAATTCACAATATCAGCTCTGTATTTCTGTGCTTTAGAAGCATTTTTATTTTGGGCAGGAATTTTTTATTCACCCGCTCGCACTTGTTTGGGGGTCTTCAGAGGATGTCATCCATAAAATTTAGTCAGTGTGGCCTAATGTTACATGTGGTATCATTGCCAGCCACAGCTTGCGTCGCACAAACTACATGTAGTGTGTCTTTTGTTTAACTTTCAGACAGACGTACACCACAACACTTCCCAATAAAACATGACAACCAACATTCACTCATGTGTATCAGGACTTTACTTATTGAAAGAAGTGTGAAAATATGATACAAATACTGCAGTTCAAAACAGCAAATGTGCAGTGCAAAATACAATTATCATGATGGTAATGTTCAATGTAGAGTTAACGTTACTGCCTGAGCTGGAGTTGAGTACAGAAGGATAGAATTTCGCAAGAAACTTACAGAAAACGTACTGGTAGCATGAATTGTAAAAACTGTAGTAGACCTCAGAGAGACAAACGTCATTCAACTTATTTTACTCAACCATCAAACAATCAAGTGTGCAATGAGACAAATATTATGTGTGTATCATACAATCTCCAAGAGAAAAATCGTATTGCTTTATTTACACTTCGGGAAGTTTTTTTTCTCTTCAGTGCAATACACAGCAACTGTTCTAAAACTACACTAGATTGTTACAGCATCTCTAAACACATTGAAACTATTTACAGTATAAAACCAATTGACAAATATGTAGCTTCCTATCACAATACATAACGTTAATGTTACTTTGTTAACAAGAAAATGTAAAACTTGTATCTATTAGTATTAATATTAGCATTAATCAATTAACAGCCTCCCAGCGTAAGTTGATGTGTCTCTAAAAATCAAGCTGCAAACTTTGCAGAATTCTGGAAACTAAATAAAGTTAACTGCCTGAAATAATGGACATGACAGCCTATCAATGTTGGCTATTAGACATTTCATGCGCAAGAGAGATTTTTGTGGCAAATCTGGTAATGTTACAGAAAATCGTTTATCAAGTATAGCAATAAGGTCAAAATAATGACAAAATAAAAATTCCAATCAAACAGTGTGTAATCAAAGTGTGTTTCTATGTTACATTATGATCAACGTAACCTATGCGCTTGAAATTTTTTGACCAACTCTTCAACATTCCATAGGATAACCGATCCAAAACTTCTGACGTGACCTTGAGGCAGTTATCCAAGGTCACTCCGTAATAATGTACACACTTCAAGGTACCTATGACTTATCACTAGACTTCCATGTCAAAAGTAGTGAGAGAATTGTTTAAAGGACTGAGTCTACATTTTTGTATTTTTTTAAATTAAAAAAACAGTTGACTGATTGTATGTTTGACTTCTGTTGACATGACTGCTACTGAGGCTGGGCTGTGTCCAGGACGCCCGCCGGTAACCCCACCATGTTGGCGGTCTGTCCGCCCTCCAGCAGGATGGGTGTCTGCATCATGGCGGCCGCGGTGGACGTGGTCGTCTGGAGCATCTCCGGTATCGTGCTGAAGGAGCTGCTGGACGTGGTGGTCAGGCTGCCGTTCAGTGACGTCTGTGAAAAGAACCCCTTGAGTAAGAATAACGGGTTAGGCTCTGCTTTGTCATTCCTTTGTGGACAGCATCAATACATAATTTTACACAACATAGGAAAAAAAATTCTGTTCGTGAGTACTTGCCATGGATAATATACCAACTAACTGGACATGATTTGATTAATATTATATCTACTGGATTCTTTGTCTCCACGTTACATGCTCTTCTTGGAAAATTCCAATTTGTCAAAAAAAAACAACAACAAAAGAATCAACACTGAACTGTGATTGTTAACAAAAAGATTGTTCTTTGGACTTACTACAACTTTTGACTGAGTCTATATCAAGGAATGAGCAATCCACCACTTCTGTGACATCAATTACAGTTCAACCTTTAGTCAGAGTAAATTCAGAGAAGAACTTTTGACATAAAACCAAAGATTTACAGAGAAATCACAAAAGATGACAGGTGTAGTTACTTACGCCATGGCCTGACTCGTCTTCAAAGCCTTCTCCTGAGTGGAAGCGGCCCCCCTCCCCACGCTGCCTGTTCATGGCATGCCGATGTCTGGACTCATGGAGATATTTCTGAAGAAAAAAAAAAAACATTTCAGTTTGAATCAAATAAAACAACAGACCTAAGCTGGCACATCAGTTAGCAAGTTGATTTGCGTATTGTGAGGGCTTCCTTCATGCAAGGAAATTCTGTAAGGCAATAGCCTGGATGCCAGACTGTTCTCAGAGCAAGTACATAGTCCAGCCCCCAGCAACAGGGTTTGAATAAAATGTCCTTGGGGAAAAGTTGGCCCTGGAGCTGAGGAGCTAGCCTATATACAAACCTTGGCAATAGTCTGGCCCCCAGGCTACTAAGGCAGATACTAAGGTATGATACCCAACAAGAGAATGAGGAAGCATTGGTTTGAGACATGTACCACTCACCCTCCACTCAATAAGATAAGAGAATGAAAAACACCAGTTTGAGACCAAGTCCCACTCACCCTCCTCTCCTTGGGGATCTTTCCCTCTGCCTCCAGCTTGGCGCGAGCCTGTCTCCTCTTCAGGATGCGGTGGTACTGCTTGGCGTTGACGTACAGCGGTTCTTCCTCCAGCAGCTCAGCTCCAGGCAGGGGTATTCTCTGCATGGTGGGCACACCGCCTGCACCTGGCACCATCTGGGGACAGGGGAACAACATCTCAGCAAACTTTCAACTCCCTTCCTAACACAGGCAATGTACACTCAAATTTCAACAATGACAGAAACATCAATAAATTTGACAGTTCACAGTAAGTTGCCAAGCTAAAAATGTAGGAGGATTGTCGGACAAAACCTGGGCCAAACTCAGATTAGTGTTTAAAATCCTTTTTCTGCATACCTGCACCGGTGCATGTAACATTGAAAATTACCTGCACTGGATAAACTTTACCTGCACCACACAGAATTTGGTATTGGTCATACTAGACCTGTTTGTATTGGTCATACTAAAACTGTTCTGAAACCATTTCCATTATTTCTTTGTAACTTCTATGTGTATCTTCTTCCTGCCATCACAGATGAGCTTTCATTATAGTATTTTTTATGCTCTTTTCTACCAATTAAAGAGTTATAGAGCTAGAGACATTTGTAAAAGAAAGTTGAGTTTAACTTTAGTGTGTAGTACCCACCATGACCACCTGCCCTCCTGAGGTGTTGAGTGTGGTCCCAGCTACAGCAGGCACAGTCTGGATAGTCATGGGCTGGGGCAGGGGGGTGGAGGTGGCAGCTGCTGCAACCGTAGGGGTCGTCAGCACCTGGCTCTGGTTCAAGTTTACAGCTGTGGGCACCTGTATAACACCTGGAAATGGAATGGGCACAATATTATAGACACCCCTCAGTGTAACACACCAGAGACGTAACAAACACAGTATATTGATAAAATATTGATAACAAGATAAATCGAAATCTTCTTTAATCTTCTTAGACCTACCACTCTGAGGTGTCTGTGCCTGGCCCTGCTGGACTTGGATCGTTCCATCGTTTCCAGTCACAGGTTGGTAGAAAATGGCCTGGCCGTCGGGCGTGGTGCCTAGCTGTTGCCCGGCAACCAGTCCCCCCTGCACAGGCTGCTGTATGATGATCTGCCCCTGGGCATTCTGGATAAGGCCAACTGGGTGGACAGAAAAGGAGGAACGAATCAGGATAGAACAGAAGGAGCACTGAGGAAAGAATCATCTATAACATCTTAGATAATCAGTGTTCGAAATACCCGTCTGCAGTCTGCAATTTGCAGATAGATTTTCAAGATTGCAGAAGAAAAAATCTTACAATCTGCAATTTTGCAGAAGGAAAAAATAGGCTTCGGATTCAATAGTTTTCAATTAGCAAAGCAGTGGCGCTGTGAATAGATCGAAAACCTGCGCCGCACGAACCTGCCGGCGTTTTCCAGCAGACTGTAATGGTCCCATATAAGGGAATTTGGGGTCAAAGTTGAACGATTTCGACAAGGCGACGATAACCAAATATGGGCACTCGCCATTTTCCGATGTTAGATTTCGTCTCCCGGGAGGACCCGACAACTGCCTCGGCAATTTTCGGCAGTTTTCGCTGAGCATTTCCCAGCAGGCAACACGGCAAAGGAAACATGGCTCCTCCGAAAAACCACACTCGCCTCGGCGTTAATTTGCCGAAATTTCGATGTTTTTCCTTGGTATTTTGCACGATTCAAGCAAAGAAAACAAGTTGATCCCATGAACAAAAGAGAAATACAGCACTGGGAACCTAATGGTCCGTTTTGTTGGGCGGTAAGTTCTCATTTCGAGTGAAAATTTACGTGCATCACAGTTGTGACCATATGGTGTAAAATCAGTGATTTTCGGCTCGATCCGAACCAAGCACGGCCCGTAGACTTGTCCTTTATGATTTCTAGATGACTATCGGTACCAAAATACGGGAAAATATTGTTGCAAAATGAGAGAGACGGTGACTAAGGTAAACTTCTTTTATTTGAAGGCTGGATTTTCATTTTCCTGGCAGGCTTCTTTGTATGTAATGATCATCAGTTATTCAGTAACAACAAATATGGATTTTTGTTCCGGTCAAAAAAACCGGTCCACCGACGTTTCGGTTTTTGTGGACCGGACCGATAAAATTTTACGGTCCGAACATATTTAAAAGAGTGATATTTTGAAGAATTTCAGTAATGCTACAGATTTACAAAGCTATACCATTATATATATATGATGTAAAAATAGGCATTATTGGTTTCAGAAGGTTGTAATATGGGGGCTTGTGTATTTGCAGAAAGTATTTCCAAATTGCAGGACGAAATTTTGACTCTTCTGCAATATTGCAGAGCACTGAAAAAAAGTATTTCGACCACTGCCGTTATATATGTATGATGTAAAAATAGGCATTATTGGTTTCAGAAGGTTGTAATACTTGGGGCTTGTGTATTTGCAGAAAGTATTTCAAAATTGCAGGACGAAATTTTGACTCTTCTGCAATATTGCAGAGCACTGAAAAAAAGTATTTCGACCACTGATAATGTAGGAGTAATGGCCACTTTTAATTTAGAAAAGTACTAAATGCTTTAGTTTTCAGTAATTCACTTTTGTCTTCAGGGGTAGCAAAATCTCACGATCTGGGAAAAAATGGACATAACATGATAACAGCATAAGAGAAACGATTTTACAAGAGTAAGCAATAAATTCATGGTACAGAAGTGACAATGAAAAGAGTGAACATAAAAGTACTGTGAAAAAATGAGGAATTACTTTACAGTATGTTTGAAGTGTATTGCGATTCAAATATCTAGAAGACATACGAGAGAAATTCAGATATCTTGTAGAACTGGAAGTAAGCTCTTAAGAAGAATATGGGAAATGTTGCTACATACATTCAGAAACAAATTGTTACGTAGGTCTTCTAACACGAGGCTACTGAAATTTTGGAATGTGGAGAATTTCCATCCGACTGCCTCACCTTGTTGCACCTGCTGCTGCTGCTGTCCGGACTGCTGCACCTGCACCTGCTGCGGCTGCAGCACCTGGATCTGCTGCAGCTGGTTGGTCCCTGACACGGGGATGGTGATGGTCTGGGGCTGCTGTCCACCCTGCTGGGGCAGCTGTACCATGATCTGCTGTCCTGCTGTCACAGCCTGCTGGCCCTGCGCACCCGAAACCTACACACAAACTTTGACTTTAAGAAAGGAAAAACTATTGCTGCTTTTTGTTTGACTGCGATTTTGAGCCTTTATTCATGTAACACTCAAATCAGCCTGCTGGCTACTTTTAATGAAGTCTTTTCTTTTCTTTTTTTTATTTACTTCAGAATTCACCTCAAAACAAGGCTCGTGAGAGCCACCTACATGTTTTGGGTTACAGTGATGACTGCGTGGTCAGATATTTGTTCACCCTTGATTTAAACCGTTGGAGGTTGTAATTAGCGGTGAAACATTCACGGGGAAGCTTGTTCCACAGTGAAGTGGTTCTGGGGAAGAAACTGTCAGCATGAAATTTTCTCTTGACTGATGGACTATTGAGGAAGAAAGGGTGATTTTCTGCTGTTGAGGTGGCTAAGCGTGTTCTTGCAGAGAATGTTCTGAGTGGGGGTACGAGGGAGTGAAGTTTATTACATTCTCTTTTTTCATCAAATTGACAATGATCTGATATCAACTCAGAGCCTGGTGTCACTCAGGTATTGTGGTCACTTTATGTCAGCCCCTTGAATATTTCCCACTGAGCATTGAAAATGCTGTCTATAGTGGTTAATAGTCAGCTGTTCAATACGACCTGAGTAATTCCAAACGTCCTACATACAGGGGATATATATGGGAAGGTGCATTCAAACAATTGCAAGTTAATGCTAAAGTCCAACATACTGTGGATTTTTTCCTAATGACCTAAGCATTGAGAATTTCGTCTATAGTGCTTCACCTGTTCAATGCAGCTGGCCTGAGAAATTAAAAAAAATTGTACAAACCTGTACCACCTGTCCTGGCACCTGCTGGCCCCCCAGCTGCAGCTGCAGCTGCTGCGGCTGCCCTGTCTGCGTCAGGCTGACAGGTGTGCTGGGACTGGTCACCGTCAGTGCCCCACTAGCCGAGGTTTGCTGGGCAGCCTGCACGGTCACCTGTCAGAAAAGGACAAGAATTTTACTCCTCCATAAACTTTCAGAAGAGAACAATGTAAATGAAAAGCAAAAGCAAATACTAGAAATAAACAGGCATCAGACATCTGCATTAAATCCAAAAGCAAAACTTACAGCTGTTTTCAGTTCTATATTCACATAAATACTTAAGAATTTCTTGTCTAATACTAGAGTAGAGTATCTATTCTTTGGCCAATTTAGGCATTTTAGGTTTCCTAGTCATCATGATACTAGTAATGTGTTTTACTGGATAACATCTGTCCACTTCAATACTTCATTTAACATCCGTGTCCATAATATCACCATGATAGTCCATAATATTGCCACCTTGAGAAAAAGTGTGCTTAAAGATATTTTTACTGCAACATACCCTAGGTATCATACATTTGAGGTGTGCAGGAGTGCATACCAAAAGTATGTTGCAGTAAAAATATCTTTAAGCACACTATTTCTCAAGGTGGCAATATTATGGACCCTGGTGATATTATGGACACGGATGTTAAATGAAGTATTGAAGTGGACACCTGCTTTTTGCATTCAACAATTTGTCAGTGAATTTTACCCGTATACCAAGTTAGTCCAATAACTTTAGGAGAGACCACATGGTTGGCAAATGTACAAATGTAGCCATGTGCTTATATTATGAGGTTCAGGAATATGTCTGCATGTGTAAAGTAGAAGTGAATAAAGCAGGCAGACACTGTGGTTATGCTGAGTCTTAGCTGGCAAACAGACTGTGTAACTCTCATTGTTTGTGTACATATGGGTCATTGTGTACATTTGTGTACATTTGTGTACAGTGGGGTTGTGTGGGAGAGTAGCTGTACCTGAGCTTGAGGCCTCTGTTGTTGTAGCTGACTCTGGATGGCAGCGATCTGGTCTGTCGTGATGGTTTGATTGACAGTTGACACCACATTTCCCTGGAACTGTTCCATCATGCCTCACTGGATCATGGAATAATAATCGTTTAACAGTTAATAAAGATTAATCAACATGAATTTTTGACACTTAAAAACTTCTTTTTCCCTCATACCGTGAAAGAAAATGCATTTTACATACAGTAACTTCTTTCTCTACAATGATGATGATGATGGCACCAACCCTTTGGCTTTGCCCTGACCAAAGACCTTGCCCTGAAACACCAGATCTTTTACTTTTGCTCATTTTCATTTGTCAGATATTTGTATGTGAGCATCTATACTATAGTACGCAAATATTGTGATGGTTTGTTACCTAGTCATCTTCAATCTGTATATCATCTATTTGGGAGAAGAGAAACACACTGGTGCCCATCTTTTAGTACAGAGTACTGCAGACAAAAACCAACCATAGGCTTCATGGAGTACTGTACATTCGATTTGCCAAGCACAAAATTCCGATCATAACTTCTTGTTTATGGCTGCCAAGTGCAGCGATCGGGGGGTTCAATGATAAGATATGACATCTGGGGTTCGTCTAGAGACACATGGACGCCTTCCTAAACATTTGGGACGAAACTTCGGCAGTAAATTTCTAGCCAAAGGGATCAGCGATGACAGCTTGCAGGTCGGGGGCTTTGTGGCGGGCAGACCGCACAGTCCCGCCAAGCTGGCGGTGAGCAAGGCTCGCTCGGACGGCGATCGCGCGCGAGCAGGGGCAAAATAAGACATGATCTTCCCGCCTGGTGTTTCCCTGACAAATCCAAGGCAAAACTGGCTTTGAAAATAGAAAATTGGAGGACTTACACGGGGTTGATATCCTGTGATTGGTCGCGTCTCCCCTTGTAGCGAATAGGAAATCGACCACTCGCCACAGCAAACCACAGCCAGGTAGCTTCCCCGCCGGCACAGCCAATCACAGGGCTAGATTAGCATCACGTGACCGTCTGGGCATGCGAAATCAGCTGACCGGAAGCTGGAGCTCCTCCCCGGAAGTGATACTTTGACCCAAAATGGAGGGATAGTGGCACGAAAAATGAAAGTTTTTGTGAAGTTTTGACGAGTTTGGGGAGAAGGGAAGGTTTTCAGGTCCATTTCTAAACGTGAAATGGAAGAAGAGGTAATTTTTTCCTGGGTGAGTACTACTTGGTCTTGTAAATTGTTGGCTTATCACTTTTGACAAGTGTTTTATGTTGAGAGCAGACGACGTTTGCACATGTCTGTGCGAACTGAAACACTGTTAGTGTCACGCTGACCGTGTAAAAAGTTTTACTTTTTAAACATGAACATTTCCAATCACGCATGTTAGTTACAAATATATCTTCACCAAATAAATCATAGGCAAACAAAACCGTACCTGTATAATGTATATAATGTCCCAAACACATGTCAATTAATGAATTATTGCCGGTATCAGCAGCTGGACATTACCGGAAGAAGAAAAAACAAAATGATCATACTGAACGGAATATATACTCCACTCACTCACTCACTCACTCACTCACTCACTCACTCACTCACTCACTCACTCACTCACTCACTCACTCACTCACTCACTCACTCACTCTTGAGTTAAGCATCTGTTGTTCCCATCTTCCGAGGATTGGGCTCCAATTATTAATAGTCCGTATTGCAATATCGAGACAGTGTTTTTCTGAAACCTTTTTCTGTTTAACACCAATTCTAGTGGTTAGGATTTGGAGCTCTCATCACCAAGGCCCAGGTTCGATTCCAGGTGTGGGACCTACTAAAAAGAGGCGAGGAGTACAGTCTACCCTGGCTCGTGGACAGCCAGCTCATAACCCAATGCACTAACCGCTAGGCCAAAAAGTCCAGACCCTTTTGGCTGGTCAGTTGGTGACGCTTGAACCTCACTGTTACTTGCTACAGGGAGCCAACAGTTATGGCCAGCTGGGCGTGGGTCACCGAGACGACAGACACACCCCACAGCAGCTGCAGGGGGTCAACTTCAGGGTCAAGGTCGTGACAGGAGGCGGAGGTCACACAGCCTTCATCTCGGGTAACACAACCTCACTGTGAATTGTTATTTTCATGTTGTTGATTTGCTTCCATCATATTCATGCAAATCATTTTAAGACTTATGGAAATTATTGGTAGGCACATCACCCAATTCCCAATGATCACCCGCTTTTTGCATACCACTTGCTAGCCGTACGATAAGATTTCAAACACAAAGCTAGAATACAGTTGAGAGTAAAGAAAAATCAGACACCTTGTTATCATGAAAGTTCATCTGTGTTGTTACATTCTGTTGATACTTTCATTCAACACATGGAGAAGTAGCTTACCTCAAATTTTCAGTCGCTCTAATATCCACCTTCTTCAGGAGTGATCTTGGTCCAATTACTCTGCACACATGACCTTAAGGACACATGACTCGAGTTATCTATCATAGTTGCCTGGTAGTATACCATGTGTTGACTATTCCTCAGCTGAAGGCCAGTTGTTTGTGTGTGGGTGGAACCAGAAGGGTCAGCTGGGACTGGAACACAGGGAGGACATGTCTGTACTGACCCATGTGGCAGCTCTGACTGAACCTGTGGAAACTGTGGCCTGTGGGTGGGACTTCACTCTGGCTGTAACAGGTGGGCACTGCAACATCTTATAGACTACTGTAACTCCTTTTTTTGTCACAGTATTTTTTTCCCACAGTTTTGATGTTCACTTCTGTACCATTACTGTTATCAAATCATTTCTTTCTCCCCCTCCCTGACCCTGCTGCCACAGTGAAGATTAAGGTTCTGTGAACATGTCGATTTTCCTCAGAAAGTGAAATTTTGGTACAGTAAGACAAAGTGAATAACACTTACAGTGTTCCTCTGAACAAGTTGCCGAGAGGTGGTAGGCAGTTTAAGTGGGTTTGGTGCCAGGATTAGGCTGAATATTCATCTCCAGATACATAAAGGAAACTGAATCCAAGGTTCGTATTGGCTATGATAGAGAGACATTCAACAGTTGGTGCATAGTAATATCAATATACTAGATGTAATCCACATATTTTACAGAAGGTGGACGATTGTTTTCCTGGGGCTCCAATGCTTTTGGTCAGTTGGGTGTTCCAGAGGTGAAAGGTCACTCTTCCACACCAGTTCCTGTACAGGTAAGATGGGTGGATGGTACTGTTCTGCAAAATTCACATTGCAGGTAGTTGTAGAAAATAAACTGCAGATTTTTGTCCTATAGACACTATTAGCCAAATATGCACTTCCACGCAAGTTGGAAAAATATTGTGTAAATACAGTGTTTCAGTGATGGAATTGGTCATTTGAAAACACTAGTGATCAACACTGTGTAAGTAGACATGTGTTCGAGTACAATGTAATCTGCATGATTTATCATGTTTGTTGTCCCAGCAGACTTTACAAGGTGTGAGAATAGTGGGTGTTGCAGCTGGGCTCAGACATGCAGTGGCACTGGATGGTGAGTTGCAGAAAGCATTTTTTAAAAATATAATTATGACATACAATGTATCCACAACAACAGCACTTGTGTGGTATTCCCTCTTGGCACCTATTTTCAATTGTTGATGAAGATATTGATAAAGTAATGTTCGTCCTATTGTTGGTAAGGATGTTTGTTTAATTTGTATTGCAGATACAGGTTCTGTGTGGACGTGGGGTGCAGGAAAGAGAGGTCAGCTAGGTCATTCAGAAGGAGGCGGGCTCCCAACAGTCTCAAAACAACCTGGCAAAGGTAGGATTCTGAAATTAATCACCATCAAGATGCAAGTGACTCTGGTTCAGGAACTTGTAAATAAGTCTCGTGGTAGCATAGCTTAGCCTTTTCAGGTTTTGCAGCTAGCTTATAAATGCCTTATGTTTGCCTCTCACACTCACAGTACAATTTGGTGCAGACCCTACCATTGTTGCAGTTACAGCAGGATCATACCACAGTGTAGCCCTCACTGGTAAGTTGACAGGACTTATTTTGACTGTAGCATTGATTTAAGTACATGTACTGGAGCTTGAAAATTTAAGTTCCATATCCATACATTAAAAAGCATGTCCGACATGGGCTGCTGTGGAATTGAGAATCTTAATAAACAGCATGTCGTACATGTAACTTCTATGTAGGATTTTACAATCAATCATAGTTTAGATCCCACATCCTAATGATAACATCGTTGTCATGTTGGAAGGCTTCACAAAATTCTTTGAATTTGTAAGATCAGAATATTGGCGTGTAAAATTTCAACCAAGTACACCAGATGTCTGTATTGCAAACATTCTTATTCTGTCTTACCCCACGGTATTTTGCAGATTCTGGAGACTTGTATGTTTGGGGAAGAAATGACAAAGGCCAACTAACAAACAGAATCAATTGTGAACATGGTGCCAAAACATCCAATCACACATCATCACCTTCCACCAACCACATGCAACAACAGCCTGCTTCAGCCATTGAGGAACAAGGACTATGTGTATCAGCTACACCTTGTTTAGCCAATCAGGTTCAACCTAGTGCAGCTCAGGAAAGTGTTTCAGACCCTTCTTTGAAACCTGTGGCTCACAAAATGTCTGCTAAGCAATGTGTGGACATTGCTCAGTTGCCTGTCAGATTAGATTGCAAACTTTTTGATGGGAGGAAAGTTGTACAAATTGAAAGTGGATGGACTCATCTAGTAGCAATAACAGGTAGGTTTCCTCTTTTTTTGTACATCATGTGTGTCTGAATGATTTCTTTCTGTAATGGAAAAGAATCTAGCCATCCAACCAGTGTCACTTCCATTCTTATCTAAAGGAAACCTTTAAAAATCATGTTCCAGAGGACAGGAGAGTTTGGACGTGGGGTAGAGCTGACTATGGCCAGCTGGGCAGGTTTGAGGATAGGACAGCACTGCCACACAGCTGTTCTCAACCTGCTGAGCTGTCATCGCTGTCAGGAGTCAGACAGGTGGGCTATCCTATGGAAACTTTGCTGTACTTCAGTCGGGTAAACAAGTTATTAAAGCATCCAACAAAAGGGGGAAAGAGATACTGTGTAGCCCCTTAAATAAACTTGAAACCTTACATCACAAATTACATGTAAAATCAGACTTGCAGAAATTTGCACTGGATTACTAGACTAAGTTCACTATCTTCTAATTGCGATTCCCACGTTTTCCTACAGCTGCAGTGTGGTTCAGAGCATAACATTGCAGTAATAGGTAAGTTCCATTTAGAAAAAGACAAAACACATCTATGAAGAGGTGTTGAAACTTCCACTGCTTTTCATGTTGGACATGTTGAAATGATTGTTTGCCTCCCTTCCCTTGCCAGGTGATCAGGTTGTCTGCTGGGGGTGGAATGAGCACGGGATGTGTGGGGATGGAGGTGAGGAGGACGTGTTGGTACCTAGAGTGGTGGAGACACTCCGGGGTTACTCACCTGTGTGGATCAGTACGGGGGCAGGGCACACCATGGTGGGGATGAAGAGGAAAAATACCTCATGACTAATGTATATAACATATGACAATCAAACAATGGGACTGCAGGTTATACACATCAATGTGGATGAGCATCAAACATGGTTGGAAATGAGAATGTGTTGACATTGCAACATCTAATCTTCATAAACGTATAGACCACCATCAAAAGTTTTTTTTTTTTTTACATGGTTAGACATTTTACATTTATGCATTACATGGCTGTGCTCATGGTCAAAGATTATAAGATTGTGTCACTATCATATTTTAGAGTTTTTAAGCAGTGAAAATTATGATTTCAAGTCAGACACTTCATTGTTGTGTTTTGAAAACATTTTATTTCATTGTTGGGTTTTAAAGACATTTATTGCAATGTATTGAAGAGTGGAATGTTACAATGTTGTAATGTAAAAAGCGCTGTCCTCTTGTACAATACAGTCACCAGTAATAAATCATGTTTAAACCATCAAATGTACTCCTTTGAAAAATGTGTCTTAAAGCATA